CCAGAGCTCAGTTTCTGCTTCTGCTTCTGCCTGGTCTCAGTATCATGTGACTGAGCATGGAGCATGTGTCCTCTCAGCTACCCACCTCAGTTTCAGTGCATTGTGCCAGTTTCTAGAGCACTAAAAAATTTAAAAGTAGGTCATTTGGGGGAGAAACTTCTCTCAGGAACGCTTTGACCAAACAGACCCCAGTTTGCACCACTAACACAACCCAGGTCTATCAACTGGCACAGGAATCGTCAGGCCCATCTGAATATGCCTGTGGATTTTAGATACTTTGTTTAGAGCTACCTCTTCAGAAACCTCTGCTCAACCTTACCCTGGGTGCTGGAAGGGTTGCCCAGTAACATACCTGGGAAGACAGGACTCCAGTGGTTAAAAGTCTAGCTGTGCATGTCTGTGCACTGTTACTTGTTGCGGGTTTGATTCGGACATAACTGCTGGGGTTGCCTTTCTCTGCTCTAAGCTTCATCCTAGCATTTCTGGTCTTCTGCAAAGCCTCCAAGAAGAATCTTCTCCTTGAAAAGAGACTTCAGTCGCAGCGTGATTAAGTCCATCACTGAAGCCTAGGTTAATGCCATTTTGGCCTGCAAGTTGCAAAGTGTTTCGTGATCTCCTAAAACTGAAATCACATTTAGCACCAAGTTTCCAAGTGCGGCTGTACCTGAGTTACCTATGGCAGGAGGGGGAAGTGTTTCACACAAAGAAAAAACAAATCCCTTTTCCGCAGGGGCATTGTAACATTTAATTCATTACTGTTTTGTAAAGGGCTTTGCAATCCTCAGATGCAACATAGTACTGAAGTTATATCTGCTTATTGGCGTCCCCTAGTCGCAGCATGCTCTGACATGACCCTCTTACTGATTTCACATCACAATATCCAGGAACTTATCTACATTAGGAATATCCTGATTTCTGCAGCCTAGACAAAGGGCAAGTGTTTTCTGCCTTGCCCCAACAGTGATTTGAGGCTGAACTCATGTTGTAAAACACTGACATTCTTGATGAAGTTTGCTTTACGCTGTTATAGGTTAGCATAATGCTAGAGCATGCTTTATCTCGTAGCCTATTCTACTGGATGCTGTCATATGTAGGATACAGGTGAGACTTCCAGTTGCAGCCATCTGAATGGGTCATTTCAGTACAGTGCACAGAAATCTTCCCAGCCCATCCCCTTATTTTAATTGTAAATGGAAGGAATAACTTGCAGGGGTGCTGGGTGAAGTGTTACCAGCTAACATGGGGCTGAACTCCTTGTAGAGATGCTCTGCCAGGAAGAAAAGGAGGACTTGTGGCACCTTAGAGACTAACCAATTTATTTGAGTATCAGCTTTCGTGAGCTACAGCTTGAACATTGGCCTGGGACCTTAGCCAGTTTCCATTCGATCTGGAGTCCAGGGTGTGTGGGAGGAGAGGAGCAGGCTTTCTGCAGCAGCCACTTTACTTCTCTGTGCATTACTAAAGAAGCAGCCTAATCTGCCTGCAGCAGAAAGTCTCAGAGAATATAAAATCAGAGCTGAATTTTGTGTGTGTATTTAGCATTCTACTCTAGTCAATTCACTTACCCATCTTAATCCCTCCCTCTAAGGCAGGGGTTCTCAACCTTTTTCGCTCTTAAATCCCCCCCCCCCCACACACACATACTATAAAAACTCCATAGCCCATCTCTGCCACAACAACTGTTTGTCTGCATATAGAAGCCAGGGCCAGCATTAGGGGGTAGCAAGCAGGGCAACTGCCCAGGCCCCATGCCACATGGGGCACCGCGAAGCTAAGTTGCTCAGGCTTCAGCCCTGGGTGGCGGGGCTCAGGGCCCTGGGCTTTAGCCCCATGCAGTGGGGCTTCAGTTTTCTGCCATGGGCCCCAGCAAATCTAAAGATGGCTATGCTTGGTGGCCCCCGGACCCCTGGTTGAGAACCACTGCTCTAAGGCTTTCCATCTACTCGAGGCTACACTAGTCCTTGCACTTTCGCCCAAATACATCTGGCCACTATGCATTCCTTCTCTGTGCCTTTTTCTCATAGCTGTGGGAAGGGCTGGGTGTGTATTTGGGGGTGGGGGATTCTTGTTGCTTTATAGCTCGTAAGGCAGAGCAGAAATAGTTTTCCTACTGCACAGTTGAGGGCGGAGCTTCCCCTTGAAGTGGGTAGAGAGGTTGAGCAATACAGCCTGGAGGCTCTGATTCAACCATTTGCTCACTCTTCTAATTATTGTGACCCTTCTAATTTTCTTATCTGTACCATCGGTGTCTTAAAAAAATTCAAGAGAATTTAGCTTTAAACCAAACACAAAGCCCTGCAAGTGAAATTCTAGCTGTTTCCTAATTTCATGCCCACGTGACTGTATGTGAGCCAGAGTTGGGCTGACAGGAGGATTTAGGAAATGATTAAACCTTACTAACCTACTCTGTAGCAGCTCTGGAGTGGGGAGGGACCTGTAGTTGAACAGGCCCCACTGAAGGGGATGTCTTAGAGTGTCTATGTGGTAGTGACATTTTTTTGCAAGTTGAATTCTTTCTTTCTTTCTTTTTTTTGAGGGGGGGGGGTCATTGGGGTATAGGGGACGTCTACATTTTAATGTTCTTTCTAGATTGCAGGAAAATTGTTACATTAAAGTTAACAAAATTCTTTCTCGCAGCTATATTGCCCCTGCTCACTGAGGGGTGAGTCACTCAACACACCACCTCTCTGGAGATGCTCTGCCCATTTTCATGTAGTCTTATGCAGCCCAAACTGTCCACAAGCAGAGCAGGAGCATGACGGTCTGTGTTCTAACTTTGTTCTCAGGAGCTCGTCGCTTTCCAAACCCTTCACCTTTCCAGGCATGTGGGTGAAACTTTGGGAAGCTTGAGCAAAAAAAGTTGTCATGTGTAAGTGTCCCCCCCATCATAATAGGCACTTATTTAACAGCCCCTCAGTTAGAATGACTGGGGTTGACCAACAGAAATTTGGCAGGGAAATCACCCTTGTTGAGGAGAGACACCGTTGAAACTTCAGGTGAAAATTTGGTTTTGATTTGTCATTGGGTGAACCATTGAGAACTGTTCTGTGTGCGTGGTTCATTTTATGCAACTTTCTCACCAAGACTTGAGTTTTCAACAGTGAATGGAGGAGTGGAGTGGGGGGGAGAAATATCTCAAAGACTGAGATGCTTTTAAGGGGACCATTCAGAAAGTGGCAAGCACTTGCCTTCTGAAAATCAAACACCTTTCAGGTGTCTCAAGTTGGATCCTCAAGAATCAAGTCTAAAATCACTATTCACTTTTGAAAATCTAAACCTGAGCTTTTAATGTACACAGCTAAGGAAAGCAACTTAGCTGTGCAGTGAAACTTAATGAGGAAGGTGCCCAACGAAAGAGGAACAGCTTGCTCCTCCTTGCTCCGCTAACCCTAGGTAGTTGAACAGGTATCTGGATTTTGACATTTTTTTGGAAGGCTATTTATGTATTATGTGGGCTCAGAGTAGCATGGTATGAAGGCTTTTATCAACATTAGACACACAGGTTAAGTAACTTGTCCAAATTCATACAGTGAGTCAGTGGCAGAGCTGAGAATAGACTCCAAATGCCATTTCTTGATTCGAACCTTTCCTGCAATGCTGTCCTTCCTATGCATACGTGTCCTACAACCACCACCTTATAACACGTGTGAGAATCATCTGCTGTTGTTTTCATGGGGGAGTTTGCTTGTTAATGACAAATGTAACTTAATTAAAACAGGTTAGGTTGGTTCTAGGAGCTGAAGTGCTCGCTGTTGAGTTCAAATCCTTCAGAGTTAAAAGTGAAACCAGCATGGTGTTCTTGGCTGGTTCCCCGGGTAGTGACATGAAGAAATCTCTACTGATGGTCTGTTGAGGGGGATGCTGAGGACAATGGTACATTGGCAGAGCTGTGTGATGGGAGCCAAGGGCCTGTCTACACTGTGCAGTCACAGCTTTGTCACTAAAAGTCAGCATGTGTAAACGCTCTGTCTGTATTTTGTCGGCACTTTTGCCAACAAAATACTTCCAGCCCCGTGAGCGGCGTTAGCTTTGTCGGCAGGAGAGCGCTCCTACCGGCAAAGCCGCGTTCACACTACCGCTTGCGTCGGCAAAACTTTTGTCTTTCGCGGGGGGGCTTTTTTAAGTATCCGTGAAAAACAAAAGTTTTGTCGACAACTTTGCAGTGTAGACAAGCCCTAATCTGTGGAGCATCTCCGTGCACCGTGCCTGATTTAGCCCTGGGCCTTGGCTCATTTTGAAACACTTCAGCTTGTAATGTCTTTAAACAATGCCTATCTTTATATTTTGCTTGACAAGCTGATTATGAGGAAAGGAAGCCCTTGCAGCTGAGCACTTTTTTGTGTTTACTTTGCTTGTGTTGGCTGTCCTATTAGGAATAGAAGCCAACTCCAAGGGAGGAGGTGACACTGTTTTACGTCCCAGCCCTAGTGTGGGATGTAACCAGAAATTGTGAATGTTGCTATAATGCAGCCATTCTACCTCCAGGCTGTGATCTTATCTGATCTCACAAGTTGCAAAGACTGTGCCATGTCAGTACTTGGGTGGGACACATCTCAAGAACCACTAGGTGCTGCAAGAAGTAGTATAGAAGATTTGGAGGGGAAAGCCTCAATCAGTCCCGAACCAGTGCCTCAACCTGAGGCTGACTGGCTGGCTAATATGAGCTAGTACTGCATCAAAGCCAAGATGAGATGAGCTATTGTTTTCCAGGCTGTCTACAGATTTGAAGAGGATACTATGTCAGTTTACACCCTGTTTGCATTTAAGAAGCTTTTCTTAGCAACTGTAAAGGCAAACGCTTCACTCAAAAATGAAAGCTAGAAGATCCTGGAACCCAATTCCGCAAGTAGTGGAGTCTGACAGATTTGTCCATTGCAGAATTGCATAGTACGCAGCACCATGATGCTAACAACCACTTTCCCGTTAATGGGGTTATCTGTGTTTCTCTATATAATGTTAAGTTGTCAGTTTTAAAATGTTTTGTTGTATTTTATTTCTAGCATCCAGCGAGCTGCATTGGTGGTTCTGGAAAACTACTACAGAGATTTCACCATCTATAACCCGAGCTTGTTAATGGCCTCCAAGTCTCGTGCAGCCAAACACATGGCTGGCCTGAAAGTCTACAATGTGGATGGTAGGTGAGGTGGAATAGTTGCTGAGAATTGATGTGTGGGGTGGAGACGAGCAGGACTTGTTATCCTTTGTTCCAGGCACATGCCCTACCTTCTCACCATCCAAAATTCTTGTCAGAAATCTTCGTACCACTTCTGAGTACATTGCTCCCAGATCACTTCAGGCTTACAAAGCACAATAGAACTTTGTCTTGACTAGGAAAAGTGGCCAAGTTTAGGTCAGGTTTAGCTAGTATGTATTAGCTAAGCCCAATTTTAATTTGATTGTACTTCCTACTCAACACAAAGCCTAGATGGGTATGGCACTTTATAGGTAAATATAAGGACGGGCTTAGTGTCCTGCAAGCCTCTGTGAACTTAGGGCTTGTCTTCACAAGTTATACTAATTTAAAGGAGTGTTTTTTCAAAAGATGTAGTTAAACCATTGTGAGGCCCTTTGTGACCCCTCTGAACCTGATTTAAACTAAACTTGACTCCATTCTTTGCTGATTAAATCTAAATAAGCCAGGTTTAAAGGAGCAGAGGTTGTGTCAGGACACACACAGCCTTGATAAAATCAGGTGTTCCACAGTAATCGGGTAGCTTCAGTTCTATGGGGAAGCTTTTAAACTCCACAGGGCTGAAGCTAAAATACAAAGGAGACAGGCTGTCCCAGGAAACACGGCCACCTTTAATTTCACAGGCATTGGAAAAATCAGGGCTGCATTATACATTTGTGGATTAGCACTGAAAGACTTTGCAGCAGGATGTGTTCAGAGGGGATTTGACTTTGCAGAGAGTGACTGTTTTCCACGCACAGCAGGAATGTGGGAGATGAATCTAAGACTTCTTCTGCCGTCTTTCCACATGGCTTATATCTTGCTTTGCATTGTTCGGTGCTCCCAAAGGGTTCAGAGGTTGTGTGGATGCTTCTCCAAACCTCCTCTGAACCTTTAGAGACAGCAAAAATTGGACCTGGAAATGTTGCCAGAGCAGCCTCCTCTAGTGAGACCTACTGCTGATGGTGGGCCCAGAAACCCGGAGAGGGGCAGCTTTGTTTTGTAGCACTTCTGGTCCTGGCTAGTGCAGGAAGTGCAGAGTGGTGTGAAATAGTAAGTAACATCAGTAACAAGGGATGTAAGCTAGCATATTCTGTTGTAGAAATGGGCAATGTTTGTGTGTATGTGGCGGGGGGGGGGGGGCGGTCTTGGAGAAAAAATAAACGATTTTGACCAGGTGGAAATCTTCTCTTTCATTCTGGTCACGGGCTAGTGTCAGGGGGGAACTTACCTTCTGGACCAGTATTTCCAAATTTGATTCCGTGAAAGTGTTCCCAGCCTTTTCAGGTTGTAAGGTATTAGCCTTAATTAATGTCATGTTTTCCAGTTACCATCTTGGCCTCTCTTCTAGTGCAGTTGCAGCATAACTGTAGGAGGCGGCATGGCACAACTGGTGCAGGAAGAGGCTAATGATGTATACCCCTGGAAAGCTGGGACTCCAAACTTTCAGAGGAAAAATCCGTGATTTTTTTTTCTAACGCTAGCAGTCTGTGAGCTAGCATAATTTAAAATCCGAACTCAAGTAGACAAAAGCAAGCTAGGGATCTGGATGGGATGCTTTTTCAGTTCCAAAATCTTTCAGTCTGGCAGGGCTAGAAACAAGTGCTTCATGACATTGGATAGGATGAACTCCCAACTTTCCAGGAGCATAAAGCATTTATTTGTGGCACTAGTGGCTTCTAACACAGGATCTTACAATCGTTGTCCATTCCTTGGTCTCTCAGTACTTCTTGGCTTTATTGCTGTAATGAATACAGCAGGGCTTTAGCCGTTGCAATATACTGTGCAATCCCAGAGTTTGCAGAGGTATTGGATAGCTTCTCTTGCTACGCAGCAGGGTTTTTTTTAATGCACACTGAACTCAGTGGCATAGAAGCATATCCTTTAGAAGAATTCCTGTGGATTTACTAAGTGGACTGTGTAGCTCTAGCCAGGACCCTCTTAGCAGAGGAACAATCTGTCTCGCATGCTCTCCGCGTGAGAGGACAGTAATGCTGTTAAGACCTCTAATTTGTTGGCAGCCTTTGAGTTTGGTGTTACAGCAGCTGGGGGGGGGAGGGAGGGGGTCGTCTTGCTTAAGTCCCTATTGTGCTGGCAAAATGGGAGCTAGCCCAAAGGCTGTATTTTCATCACCATGCATGATGAATCAGACAATTAATAACTCTAAACCAAACTGGAACTGCGCCTCTCCTAAGCCGCACCACTACACATCGCGGCTGTCAAATGAAATCTAAAGTGTTTACTCTTGAGAAGCTGTTTGTTTGAATTCCTAGACTATCCATCATTAAACATCAAACTTATGTCTTGGAACTTAAAAAAAAACCTTACTTTTTTAAAGAAAAAAGCAGCCTTTATTGTGTGAGCAGAGCATTCTTGGGACTGTCTACCCTACAGAACTGATAATGCTTAAAGACTTTCAGTTTAATGGTGTAGACTGGCTCTTAAAGCATAAAGAACAGGAGTATTTGTGGCACCTTAGAGACTAACAAATTTATTTGAGCATAAGCTTTCGTGGGCTAAAACCTACTTCATTGGATGCATGCAGTGGAAAATACAGTATACTGCATGCATCTGATGAAGTGGGTTTTAGCCCACGAAAGCTTATGCTCAAATAAATTTTTTAGTTTTTAAGGTGCCACAAGTACTCCTCAGTCTGAATCAGCATAAAGAACAACACGGCTACCACTCTTAAAGCATAGTTACAGTCAGAAAAGTGGCTTTTAAAAATGTATACATTTTGGGGGTGGTTTTATATGTCTCTTTCTCTGACTCCAGGTCCGATGTGCTTTGTTCATCAAATGACAACACTTTTCCCTAACTCATAGCGCTGCAGGCTGCATGTGAGATCACAGAACCTAGCTGGGCCAATCCTCATTTTAAAGCATCACTAGTAATCAAGTGATAGATACTTACTTGATACTGATGTGCGATGTAGAGCAGACTCCAACTCCTTTTCCTAGAGCTAAGTGGGCTCTGCTAATAGGCATAAAAACTCTTGAGACAGATGTAACTTTCAGCCCCACAGAGAAACAGTATGGAGCCCAGAGTTACAGTCTGCAGAGTCGCTTCTCTGACAGTAACTACATTTTTGAAAGTGTCTGTCTTTTTTCTGAAGATGATGCCACTGCCCAGACATCCCAGTGTAGCTCTGTGTTTTCCTGTGTGTGTCTGTTGTGTCCATGTCTCTTGATGTTCTTCTTTTCTGTCTGTCTTTCTCCCCCTCCCAACTCCTCTTGTGCTCTCTCATTGTCTTGTTGCTGAAATGTGATGTGTTCCAGCTGCCCTTGTGGCCAAACTGAAAATGTATATAATGGATGGTAAGTAACATCCTTAGCACTCTGTTTCCTAGTTTGTGTAGTCAGTCACTGTAACTGTTCAGCTACTTCATCCCCTCTGAATTCTCTCTCCCATCTCCACTGACTGCAGCACTTGGAGTGGACAGGAAATATTCCCTCCATATGCACGCTTCCCAGGGACAGTGTCTGCAGGGAGGGTTTTTCACCCCCTTTTCCCCCCCAGAGCACTGGGCAGGAACAGCCCAACTTGGCCCACAAATTGCCTGTGACAGGCACTCTTGGATTTTGAGCCTTTTCAGCTCCCATTCTGCAACAATAAAGTCTTCCTCTGACTTCTGTTTCCCCTTGAAGGCCCAGGTAACAATGCTGCTGGCCAATCCCGGGCCATGATCGCTGCTGCTGCCCGGCGCAGAGACTCCAGTCACAATGAGCTTTACTATGAAGAAGCAGACCACGATCGCAGAGTTAAAAAACGTCGAGCAAGGTAATGCTGTCTCCTTCACATTGTAGTGATTGTATCCTGCTGCAGTCAGTTTGCTGGCCTGCTGGATTCTCTAACTGTATCTGAACAGCTGGGTGGGCCCATAAAAGAGGGGAATCGGATTGAGAGGTTTTTGTTGAAGGGACTGAGTGTTTGGTATAAATAAAGTCCTTTATATTAAAAAGGTATAGGAGAAAACAGACACCCAGGGGCAGCAATGGCTTGTGACAGGAAGTGCTTAGAGAAATGCATACGCAAAGAACATGTGTAAATGTTCCAGATCAGCTAGCAGAATGTTAGGGATTAGGGAAGGGTCCAGTGCCTGCGACATCCATAACAGCTCAGTGCATGAAATCCCATTATTTCCCCAAGTAATCCAAGGGCTGAATCCATAGCGCTGTCAGTGCCATCTAGTCTCTACAGGGAGGAATTCTCCCTCCTTTGGAAGCCGGTGAATACAGCATTTGATATGGCAATGCAACACTTCAGCCTAAACTCTGTAGTCTTGCTGTCCATCTGAACAGGTCTGGTAGAGGCAGGGACATGACTAGCTGGATGTTTCTGCTGGAATGGTCCTCTGTGCATTACCAGTTCAGCATGTTGATTGCAGGGTGTTGTTCACCTTCAGAATTAACACCCAACTGAAACTAACCTGGGTAGGTAGCACCTCCAAGCTACTGTCTGAGGCAGGTCACCTGCAGCAGGCTGACATCCCTGAGCTGAGTCCCAGTGTAACCAGAGGGACTAAACGAGTTGCCCTAACTGAGGGTTTAGAGTCAGCAGTAAAGTGCTGATATGAGGTCTGTCTCCGTGCTGGCTCAGCCTGACCCCTTGCTGCTGGTCAGGCTTTCTCCACTCTCTCGGCAAAAAGGGAAGCATGTGTCTCTGGGTTTCCACGGGCTTCCTTCTGTGTAATTTAGCAACTTGGGTTCTTTTCACATACTCACTGAGCTCAGCTGGAGCAGCTGCTGGCTTAAAGACAAACCATCATTTAGCGGGAGATGCCGCCTGCTGGCGTATACATGGGGAATCTTTCTAAAACCATCAAAACCTAACTAAAAAGAGCTCTGAGGACCTCCTGGTGTTTCTTGAACGTGTCTGACTGAAGCTTCCTGTGTCTCTGGCTCGTCTGTGATATTTCTGTCTTCCTACGCGTGATCAGGCTGACAGTCTCCTTGCATTAATATCTAAAGGTTTTATATGCAGGGCATTGTAGAAAAGTCGTTATTAGTGACTTAATTCCATTCATTTAATCCAATGTGAAACATGAGTATTTTACAATCCAACAGCTTTCCTTTAACTGCACTACTCTCTTTTACTCGTTCAACACGGTTAGGGTAGCTTTTGAATATCCTCTGGCATCTGTGTCGCTTTGCTCCAGGGGGGTCTGAGTTTGTTTGCACAGCTGTGCTGAAACAGGGATAGTTCGCATAGGATGCGTTCTTGGCTGCAAGTGCCCTGAGCTAGGGCAGGGAACAACCCAACCGCATGCAGGGCCACTTGGGCAACTTGCCAGGAGCCTGAGGACTGCAACCCGGTTTGTATAAAATGGAATAGAGTGCAGGTCATGAACAGGGAGAGGTGTGTGGAGACTGTGGGTCCCAGTGTATGCAGCGCTCTATCTTGAGCCAAGCACCTTCCCCCAGACCAAAATTGGAGTAATGCATGCTGGTTCCACCACTCTCGTACCGCTGTACTCAATATGAGAGTAGCTGTGGGCCAAAGTTACAAATGGAGGCAGGACTGTCTAGTGAGCTGAACACAAGACTGGGGCCAGGAACTCTTGGGTTTTAATCCTGGCTTTGTCACTGATGTGCTGGGTGACTTTCTGAGCGAGAAGAAAAAGCAAACTCCCATTCACCTCTCCATGCCTCCATCTCCCTCTCTGCGGAAGGGGTTAAGTGACTTGCCTGACATGTCACGCTGGGCCAGCGGCAGAGCCAGGAACAGAGTCCAGATCTCCTGACTCCCGAGCAATCGGTGCCCTAACCACATAACCTTCCGTCCTCCTGGGGGGTGAATCTGGCTTCCTTGTGTCTTTTTCTTCCTCTAGGCTTGTGGTTGCAGTGGAAGAGGCTTTCACTCACATTAAACGTCTCCAGGCGGAAGAACAGCAGAAAGCTCCAGGTGAAGTGATGGATCCCCGTGAGGCAGCCCAGACAATTTTCCCATCCATGGCGAGGGCTCTGCAGAAATACCTTCGCACCACCCGCCAGCAGCATTATCACAGTATGGAGAGCATCCTGCAGCACCTGGCCTTCTGCATCACCAACAACATGACGCCCAAGGTAACGCTGCCTCCAGCGGAGAGCCAGAGAGCTGCAGGAAGTGTGTATGTTAGGGGAAGTGGGCGTCAGGCAGAGAGTAATGAGGCTTGAGGGCTGCTGTTGATGATACAGTTGGTACATTTCAGTCCTTTGCTTGTAACTTGGCTTTAGGTCTTGGAGTGAACTCAGCCCCCACTGTCCCTTCTCCTGTCTGCCTTTTTAAGCTGTGAGCATCAATGAGCTACGATCACCGCAATTCTAACAAGCCGAGTGGGGTCAGGCCTGGCTGATCCTTGGTTTGGAGACCTCCAAGGAAAGCACAGATTGCTGCAGGAAGTGGGGTTAGCAATTCAGTAGGGAGCTCTCTAGCTCTGTGCCTTAAGGTGGTGGGAGGGGTGGAGTGGGTGATTCAGGAAGGAGCAGTTTTCCCGCTGCCAGCACTGACCTCAGAGGCGCAGTGTTGGGGGTGCAATTCTTTGGATTGGATTTCTACCCAAGGAGCTGTGGCCGCTAAAGACCCCATGGCACGTTGTGTGTGTGTGTGTGTGTGTGCATGCATGAATAGGAGTGTTAGTCTTCATGTCCTGGCCAAACCTCCAGTTCGTATGACTGCATTCTACCTCCCTACATTTCCCTGCAGATGCAGCAGAATAATTATGCTTCACTTCCTGCCCTAAGTTGCTGTGCAACTGTTAAATGGCTGCCACCGTCCTTTCCAGAGGGGGCTGCATTTGAGTGCTGGGTGAAGTGAGGCTTGGTGCTTTACATATAGTCCTCTTTGGGTTGAAGGCCGCTGCAGAAATGCAAAAGCACTTACTATCTTACCCAGTATTAGTAGCCATATGTGATAGTAGCAGGGACACTGTGGGCAGGACGGGCGTTTAGGCTGGCTTTCACACAGGGTCTGTTATGAACTTATACCCGTGTTTGAATCCCAGCGGGCTCTTGGCATGATGTGTGTTGACAGTTGAACTTACCCCCTGAGTTTGCAGTGGGAACTTTAAAATACAACAATGTCAAGTAAACTGCTTGAAGTGATGCTTGTTCTTCCAGGTGTCTGAGTTAAAGTACTTTCCTGCCAAGGACTGAGTGGGTCACGGAGACTGAAATCTCCTCCCACCAGGACAGGGGATTTTTTGGCAGTGGGTTGTATACATGGCGGAGGGGAAGTTGTGCTTTGCCCAGGCTGCGCCTTTCTGGAGAGAGAGAGGCCTCGGCTCTCCAGCGCTGTCGGACCTTTCCCCAGTGCTAAATTTATATTTAAAAGGCAATTTTGAAACTGGAATTGGAGCCATAATTTTGTGAACTGACTGGGATGAGATAAAGCAGATCTCTAGCTGTCACCTACTTGTTCAGATCCTGGGGGTAGGAAATGGCAGGAGGAGAGGAAGGTTTACCAAGTGTGCTAGCTGAAACAATTTGCTACAGGGAATACCTCTGTCCACAGGTCTAAATCATGAGATTGAAAGAAAGTGTCAAGGCAGACCTGAGTCATGGGAGGTGGAGTTCCCCTGGCACTAATTCATTCTTTTTCTCTCTGTGTCTGTGTGTGTGTATGTGTCTCTGTCTGTCTCTCTCTCTCTGTCTAGGCATTCCTGGAGCGTTACATCAATCCAGGCCCAACCCTCCAATATGACAGGGATCGCTGGTTCTCCAAGCAGTGGACGCTCGTCAGTGAAGAAGCAGTCACACGTGGATTAAAGGATGGTGTTGTTTTTGTTCTCAAGTGCTTGGACTTCAGCCTTGTAATCAATGTGAAGAAAATCCCCTTCATCAAACTCTCGGAAGAGTTCATAGATCCCAAATCTCACAAATTTGTCCTTCGCTTGCAGTCTGAGACTTCGGTTTAGGGTGCAGGGCAGTGTTCTCTTCTTCTTGTGCTTTTGGGTTTTGTGTCCCCAATTCTGACTGAAACTGGCAGATGACAAAGACCAGTAATATTTGACCATCTGCACTTTATTTGGAAGAAGGGCTGGGGGTAATGGGTTGGGATATCTATCTAGAAAGTAATATCTTAAAAGCTCACAAGGCAACTTGGTTGAGTTAGCTCAGCCTTTACGACAGAATGATCCTCCTTGTTTTCCAGGCTTATTGTAGACACTGTGAACAAACAAACAAACGGCCTTTATATTTCCTTTGGAGCCCTGCCTTGCAGTGATCAATACTGTTCGTACATCTCCCTTACTCAGGCCTGACCTGTCTCTGCGTCCTGTGCGTGTAGATTTCTATTGGGAAGTAGCTTTTTCTCATTTATAAAAGTCTGCGTATGAGGGAGTATTTACAGTTCCCCTCCTCTCAGGAAGGAGAGTGTGGTGGGTGGGGAGAGAATTGATAGTTGTTTGTAAACCAGGCTGTCTAGTGGTTGAAGAGCCCTTCCCCCTCCAGGGATGCTCTTCTCCAATAGCACTGGACCACTGTGAACCAGGGAGTAGCAGGGATGGGTTTTGCCATCTGTTTCCTTCAGTCTCTTCAGTTGATTGTATTGCTGATCATGGTACGGGCACTACTCATTTTGCAGCTGTTTGAATTATTACCAGATGTCTTAATGAGATGTCAGGGGATTGGTGCATGATGCAACTCTCCCCCTCGGCCCCTTGATCTCTAATCCCTGCCCCACTAATTTGAACATCCCATGCTCCCTCTTCTCTGTCCCCCTTGCAGCTTTCTGAATGTGTTTCTCTAGCAACGGCTCCTCTGGGGTCAGTCGTGTTATCACGTTCTCCCCACCCCCCTTTCGCGATATATTTGCACAGTTACAGCCTGGCTGAGTAAACGTTCTCCTCGGAGGTGTGTGGCGTTTACCTAACCCTGATGGCCTGGTCCCAAACAAAGCGAGCCTGCGCAGGAATGTAGTATCGTATTCTAGAAGGGCTTCAAGAGCATCTTGAAGGAAGGGGGAATGCTTAACCCCTGTCCCTCACAGGGCCCAGAGACAGTGTGAGCAGGGAAAGGGCAGACCTTGGCTGACACATGTGGTTGAGTGCCATGGTTCTTTAAGACCGTATATATAAATGCACTACAGTATATTCATCCCCCCCACCCCCACCCTGCTGTAGCTAAGAGAGACCAAACTGCGTCTGAATGTTGCAATTGCTTTTTTAAAAAAAAAAGTCCTTGACCGTTTACCCCATGTTACTGTTCTCTTAGGTATTCGTCACCAAGCTAGCCTGGAATTTGTCTGTTCTTGGGTGAGGGAAGCTTAGCTCTCCAGAGAACATACTTTTTAAGCCTTTTTTTCTGTCAGTGACCTCTGTTCTCAAGGTCTTTAAACAGGATTGTTTTAAAGCTGGGCTTAAACAGAACCTCTTGATCTGAACACTCTCCCTGCACTCTGAATTCAAGGAATGTTTGGGTCCAGGTCTCCACTCCAGAGCCAGCTCCTACTTCTGTCATGAGTTAAACCAAATCCCCAGTTCCAGACGACCTCCAGACTCTGGGAAAGTTCAGTACAGGATCTGGAGTGGGATTTCCTGGCTTGGGCCTATGTCTAACTTTATTTTGATGAACAGGAAAGTCTGGGGGGAAGTCTCTTACAATGTGAATGTCTTTGTTTTGCTTGCCTGTCTTTGTTACAGACAGATGTTTAACACACTAAGGCAAGGTACTTAAGCAGGTCCCATTGAAGTGTATGGGACCAGTCACGTGTTCAAGCGACTTGGTGAACCAGAGCCTAAAGTGGTGATTTTCAAGTCATGACCTATCTGTGGTCTGCCAGGCCCTTCCTGCTGGTCCTAGGTATCTCCTATGGTATTTATAAGGACCCTACCCCCTTTGTATTTATGTACCAGTAACGATTACAAAGAAGCCAAATTGCACTGGTGGTTGCAGGGTGTGGGATGGGTCTATGGGAGGATCTCTTCTTATTGCCATATGCGATGTTTATAGATATCCCCTGCCCTAAAGCACACTCAGTTCTTTCCGTCAGGCTTTCTGGCAGTTTTTGTTGGTTTTTAACAGTTGTGGCCTTTTGCTGTATATTCATTTTGAAAACGCTGTTGGTTTTGTACCATTTTTATTAAATGAAAGTCACACAGTGTTGTGCCTGATGCATCCTAAAAAGTGAGTTTCTTTAACCTTTGGATAACAAGTGCAACTGGAGAGCAGGGACTGTGGGGGTAATTGGCTAAAGCTGTGATCAGGGCTGAACTGGCTGTCTGAATTTAGGGCCCCAACCCTAGCTTAGTTGGCTCAGACGTGTGAATTTAGAACAAAAGCACCCAGTATGAATTTCCTCCTTTCATGATTCCTGCCATACCACCTCAGAACTGGAAGTTGTTTGACAGTCGCTTTGCTCAGGAAACATGTCTTTCTGTTTTTAAATGTGTGTAAGGATTTAATACAAAACCAAATAGAAGCCGAGTGTATTCACAGCTGCTACATAACCTACCTGCTGCAGTTCAAAGTGCCACCATTTCTGTCTGTCCCAGAAAGGGGCGCTGTTAGCGTAAACCTCCTTTAAATGGAATGCCCTTAATTTTGTTACTGCTAATGCTTGAGAGGTCTCAACCCCAATGAGAGAGAAAAGGTCATTTACTCTTTGCCATTTACCTTTCTGCACTTCGTTGAGCTTGGAAGGAGAGGGAAGTGGTTGGAGTGGGGGACTGGGCGCCAGGACTCCTGGGTTCTATTCCCTGCTTTGCCATAGGAATCACTGTGAGACCTTAGGCAAGTTACTTCACTTCTCTGGGCCTTCATCTCTCCATTTGCAAAAGGGGGAACCATGATATCTACCTCACAGGGATGTTGTGAGGCTAAACTTAACCTTCGTGAAGTGACTTGAGATTGTCTATCGAAGCGCAAACTGTCTTCTAATAAAGATTTGAACAGTGAAACTAGACCGGCCTGTTTCACTTGCCATTTATAGTCTGTTAATGGATGAGAATCAGGTGTCGGGGACAGCAAGATAGTGTCGGCATTTCCAACCCAATCCCATAGTCCTTGCTTTACGCTCATGTCCATGGGAAGCATGGTTTGCAGGGTTTGCTCTGAAGGGGGCTGTTTCACTCCGACTGCCCTCCCCTTTTCTCCTCTCTCTTATTGGAAAGTTCTTAAGTGAATGGAAACCTACTTTAAAATGTTTAAGCCTTTGACCATAAGCTAAGTGACCGAGGAAATTCCTATTGAACAATGTCAGGTGAAGACCAGGTAAGGCTGAGCCTTTCCCTAGGGAGTTAGGTCTCCTGGTTGCTCAGGGACGAGCAATCTCCTTGCTCCCTGCTATTTCCCCATCTCCCACTATGTAAGTTGGACTGCCAAACACACTATGTCACGTCTTTGCTCTCAGTCAGCAGCATGATACAAATCCTGAAGCCTGGAGGGGTCAAGCAGAACCTCCCAAGTAGGTGCAAGCAAAGCTGCTGTGATCAGTTTGAGATTCATGGAGATTGTTGAGGTGGCTTTTCTGTAGTAAAGTGGTATGTGGTGTTTGTAGGGTGGAGTGGATGGATAGTGAAAACGGTAGGGTCCCTGGCCCCTTGTCGGAACGAAGGGGCAGATGCTTGTCTCCTGGTTCTTGCCAGTCCCATAACTAGGGCCGTAGCATAGGGAAAGGCCATGTATGAACTGAACCGTCCACCAGAAACACAGTTGAGGTGCTGCTGTTTTCTCCCCTTGGCATGTGGGTTCAGCATGCTGCCCCTCTGCTCTGCAGGGTGAGGAAGGAATGGAATTGGAATGGACCTAGAGCAAGGGGATTGGTGGTAGCGCTCCCACCCTGTGGGGGCGGAGGGGAGCGGATTTGGTCCCCAACCAACCCTTGCTGCCAGGGGGCTATGGTGACTATCTGCCTCCACCAAGTGCGCTCTATCAATAGCGGAAGAGGGTGGTAGTGGAAGAATAGGTGGCTGCTGGTCACCTCGCTGCCCTTGGGGGCAGGGGTGCTTGAGAACAGAGGCAGCAAGCAGAGCGAAAAGGTGGCATGACACAAGTCTTGCAATTGGGTCTGATCTAGCATAGGCCTTGACAGCGGCCCCCATTCCTGCATAGCAGAGGAATAACATAAGTGTCTTTGGATGGGGCCAGTGGTGATAAATATAAACCAGCTTTCAGCACCTCTGCCCATGGCTACTCCTATCCTCTTCCCTCTCCCCCCGCCCTCTGCTGGGCTGGCTGCCTCTGATGACCCATTTGCCAAAAACACCCACTTCCTCCTCTGTTGCTCCAGCCTCCACTCCCATCTCCCTGTTGTGTTTCTCAGGCCAAGAGCCTGGTGAGGAACTAGTAACAGGCAAGATGGATGTCATCAGGAGCACAGGCTGGAGCTCATGATAAGGCAGGGCTCTTGGGTGGATCCCATCCTCACCCCAATCTTGCCTCCCAGCTGCAGGAAACACTTCCATTTCCCCCACGCACCCACCCCTGTTGCCATGGACTCCACCAAAAATCCTATAAAATCACACCACTACCAGTTTCTTAAAAACTGGCAATTCCATTTAGCCCCATGCACTGCTTTAAAGTCTTGTTGGCATAAACGTATTTAAACAGTAACAATAAAGAAGCCTGAAAGATCACAAACTTGTTTGCCCCGCTTCGTAGGAAGACTTATTCAAGTCAATTAAGCTAACATAGCTATCCCATTAAAAAAGCCTGCAAATCTGGCCTCCCCTCTTAAAAAATATAAATTGACTTTGGGTCTTTGGAGAGAACTGTGTTCTGGCTCCAGACTTTATCTTCAAAATGTCCTTAAGTTTTCAGTCTGCCATCCAATAGACATTTAGATGAATAGGAGATGAATGTGCAGATGTCTGTTTTCATGTTCAGCTTGTATTTGTACGTGCTGTCCCCTTGTAGGTGTGTGTATTATTCCTGTCTAATGCCTGAAAAGCCAGGGGTGGTGGTTCAATAATGCCCATTAGGACTGTATGGAGAATGAAGCACTCTTGGGATGGAGTCATAAAATTACTTCTGTAAGGGGGCTGTGTGGCTGCGGGTGGGCAATGGGATGGATACACAGATCCTTTCGCCTCCCGTCGGCTGGCTCCGACTCCATTAAAGATGATGACCACAAGTTACCGTCTGACAGGTGTTCAGTAACCTGTGCAACTTCAGTGTTGATCTGTTCGGTTCCTCTTGGGCCAGGTCTCCACAGCACCATGACTGCCCACGAGTATGGCCTCTCCGAGAAAGGGGCCTGTTAATAGAGACCGAATTTTCACCCCACGTGGCAGGGCAGTGTGTAGGGGAAGCGTTGTGCCTCTGCCACCCGTGCCTGTCTTGGGCATAGAGAGGACTGAATTCTCTAAGACTGTTGCTCTGGCACCTTTCACCAGCACTAACTAATTCACTGGGGACGGACGGACGGGGACACACACGGACACATGCACACACGGACACACACATGGACACACTCGTTTTGCTGTGGTTCGCTGCCTGCACGGAGATCTGTCTGTGAAGGATTCTTACACTCCTCTGTGCCTATATCTTGTAACGAATACAACGTTATTCTGTACTGGGGGCCAGGATCTCCTGGCTCCCACACAACTCTTCTGATCACTGTGTAATGTACAGCCTGGTACTTTTTTCTACATAAACTGCATATAGTAAGGTGGGTTCTGCTGAGGTTTTCTAATGAATAGACACTAACCAGCCTCTTGCTGCACATGTGGCTTTAACTGCAGTGTTACATGGTCTGAAATAAATTCTGAAATCTGTTTTTGTTTTTCCCCCCCCCTCGTCCCAGTTGTGAACTTGAGTAGCAAACTCCTGGTGTCTGTGATGTTCATGCACTGTGTGTCTAGCAGAGTGAATTGTTCTGTTCCAAGCTGGGTTCTCTTAAGTTATAGCTGGATGGTTTTGTTTTTGAACTGAAACATGAAACCATTTTACACTTTGCATATTTTGTACAGTAAAAATCTGAAAATAAACTGAAAACAGAAATTCTGTGCTCCTACGTAGTCTTCTTTTGATTATTTCAGCCTGGGAAACGTCTTCCCCCTCTCTCTGAGCGTTCTTTATGCCTTGAGAGTGGTACCCTGTAAACAAGTGCCATAGCCTTTTCAGGCTAAACCTCCAATCAGCCTCATTGCCCAATTCTAGGCCTCTTTCATCTGTCCTGCCACAATAGGGGACGTGTTCATTTATCACTCTTGAACAATGAGACCTGTAGGAGGCTGTGCTGAATGCCTTAAAAAATCTCAGATTCGTGGGAGGAAATACAGGACATGGGGCTGGAGCGAACTGGCAGTGGGGGAAAGGAGTTAGAATTCAGTAGGTAAAACTACCTGCTCCCTTTCATTTACTTTGAGCTCGCGCCACCCGGCACACAACCTAATCATGAAGTACCAGAGCTGTTCCTCAAACTCGCTGGGACTCCTGATTGGAGTCTGACCTCCACTAGAGTCTGAGGGGGCCGGGGGAGCAGCTGGAGCAGCAGTTCTTAGGGGTGGTGCCTTTGGTGTCTACAGAATTCAGGCCGTGTTATATTCAAAGCAACCAACCAATGTAGCTCTTGACCACTTTCTCAGCAATAAAGCAAAAAGGTATTGCTACCACCACTCTGGTTACACGACCCAGCTTACAGAGCCTCACCTCTCATCTGTTGCCAGAATCAAGGTGGGGGAACAGCCCTCCAGCAGGTCTTGTCACCAGCTGGACTTGTACAGTTTCCTTGCAGACTGAAGGAACAAGAGTGTGGAGTGATCCCATGGGCACTGCAAATGGTGGTCCCGAAGCGCTTGGCCTCCCGGCTTCATCCCGCAAGCTGTCCCCCCACCACAGGCCAAGCGTGTGCCAGGCTGCTGTCAGCACTGCTGGAGAAATGGTTGGAAAAATCCACAGGATGCTGCTGTGCTATGAAAAATACCGTGCAAGGGTTGCAGAGATAAGAGCAGTTAATGGATAAACATTAGTTCAGAGAGCCTCCGAAGGGGATTGCTCCTCCTGGGATTACCAAACAAGGTTACAAAGCATTAATTTCAAACCAGTAGGAAACAGGAAGGGTGGTGGGGGAGCACTTGGCACTGCTCAACTCCACTCCTCTCCCCCCCCCCCCCACCGGCTTCCTGATCCTTTCCTTTCTGGGAGCTATTTGCCCTTGTCCTGCGGTGCCGTTTGTGGTGGCCAGCCCTGGGAGTTGCCTAAGGAGCAATCCCTGGTGGTCTGAAAGAAATAATAGAGGGACTGCATTAAAAACATAAATTACAGGCACGAATGAGGGCAAGTTGCTCTGTCCCTCCCTCCAATAAATAATGAACCTCAGATTTTCCTGGTGGTGCTGCAGTCACTGCTGGCCACTCCTTGTGCCTGAGAGGAGCTGCCAGACTGGATCAATCCCAGTGTCCATCTACTCTCCTGTCTCTGGTAGTTGCTAGCAGCAGGGGCTTGAGGAAGGGGTGAGATCCCCACAGCAGGCTGAGGTTGGGTAATCTACCCCTCATGTTAGGTCTCATCCTGATCCTGATGGAATCCCTAGTCCTGCCCCCTGGCCCTGCTCCCCACCCTCCTGGCTCAAGGAGCAGAGGTGGTGGAAGGAACTGGCTTGGCTGGAGGTACCTGCTCCTACTGGCCTCTACCTGGCTGACTCTCGTGTTTGGATCATAGGGGGAAGCCATGAGCTTATCGGAAATATGGGGCTGAGGCTGCAGCTCCAGTTCAGCCAAACTCCCATCAAAGTCATGTGGGTTCAGCTTTGTGTGTGCGCCCTACGCACAGGATCCAGCCCCACGACTGCTAACTAACAATGCTCAGCCACGCTTGTTTATCACCGTTTTGTGGAGTTTAGGTTCCTTGCTGGGGTGGCTCCGGGAGCGTGGACCTCTGGCCGCCCTCGTCCATGGTGCCCTCCGCACGCAGGGAGGTAGAGCTTCAGGGGCTGTCCTTGGGCAGGACAGAGCCAGCT